CAAAGACAGGTTCTGAAAATCTGGCATAATGACATTGGCTGTCGCCTCTCTAATTTCTGGAAATGGATTACTGTCGATCCCCATGGCCTTTTCAGCTTTGGCTGAGAATTTCAAACTCCCTTTCCGAATTTGTTCTTGGATCCTGTCTTGAAAAACAACACAGTTTTTAGTCGAGTGAGACCAAGAATTATGCCATTTACAATATACTTTTCCTTTAAGTTCATCAAGAGATGGAATTTTAACCCCTTTTGGTAACTTAAGGAAGTTGGCCGCAAGCAAATGATCAAAAATGTCATCTGCCTTAGTTAAATCGAAAGAATATTTCATGTGAAGATCTTTCTTTTTAAATTGCTGGTCAATTGTCATATCCTTATGAATTAATGCTTCACAGATCATAGGCTCTTTCCCCACAATCTCTACTGCATCAATCTCATAGTTAGGATCTTTATAGTATGTCTTATATGATGCATTATTTTGATCTTGCTCCTCTTCTAGTAATGCTTCATATCTAGATACTTTGTAAGTCAATTCCACTAAGTCCCTGAACTCTGTTGAGTCAAACTTCTTTCGAAGTCTAAATTCTAAGCCATTTTGAGCCAATCTTACGAATTCTGGCTTTGGCAAAATGACTCTACATTTATTTCGAGCCTTTTTAAATCTGGCAATAAACTGAGTAGCCTTTTTTTCAGGCCTTTGACTCAACCTTGCCAAGGCTGCCATGGAAACTTCTGGCTCCGATTGGAAAAATTAGGCATGAAATGCCTCTTCCATTTGTTACCAAGTTTGGATTGAGCTAGGTGTAAGGTTAATGTACCATACAAATGCTCCCCCAGTTAGAGAATTTGGGAACAATCTCAGCTTCATAAAATCATTATTAGTGAATTCACCGCATTGAGCAGCGAACCTAGCGATATGCTCTACTGTTGACTGGTTTCCATTCTAACAAAAAATGGTGAAATCTGGTATCCTGAAACCTCTTGGGTATTCATGTACCCTATCTATCCATTCTGGGTAGGGTTTTCTGTATACAGGAGTCTGGACCCCCCCGAGCCATTGGTCCACACATCTCCTTAATGATGTCAGCAATTTGGTCCCTAGGGACCATATTTTGTGCCTGCTGAATCACCGCCGGAGGAACAAACACAGGATTTGGTGGACAAACTTGTGCTTGTGGTCCTCTTGGTCCATAAGGTGGTATATTTAGGACTGGTTGTTCCTGTGGTGCAGGTTGCTGTTGGGGGTGTGGGTAACCCCTTTGAATTTGTCCTATGAAAGGACCTGCGAAAGGTGCTGAAACTGGTGTTGTGTCTCTTCCATTTGTAGGAAAACCTTCTAACCCCCCGGGTATAAATTCGAATAAGGGATTAGTGAACCCCCTTGTGCCAGGTATGGCTTCGAACATGGGATTCGGAACCATTCTTATGCCATTTCCTTATACAGGGCCAGTTCCACCAAATTGCATGGCTTCACTGTTAAGTACTGAGACATTTTGACCTACAACGGGCCTTGGAACAGGTTCGTACCAAGACTGAGGTGATGGTCTTTCATGGTTCTAATTACTAGTTTGTCCATTAGAATGTCCATTAACTTGCATAGGCTGTTTATCTCTAGCCAATCTTTGCTGAGGGACATTCGAAATTTCCCCCATGTGTCTTGCGTTTGTTAGTTGGTGGTTATTCATTCGATCCAAAAAGGATGTTGCCCACATTTCTATTGTGTTCATTAATTGTTGTCCCATTGCATCTATTAAGCCACCCCATGGATTCACTAGCTGAGTAGATAGGACAGTGGATGGTCCAATTCCTTGGTCTCGTCCAATATTACGAACAAATGGTATTTGTTCTGAAGTACCAGTCTGTTCGACCATAGGTTCTGATAAAATAGGAGTTTCCAGAGGATGTGTTATCACATTATCCTCTGGATTAGGTATTTCTACCTCTCCTTCCACGCCTTCTTCCAAGCGTTGATTTTCTCCTTGTCTCCTACGTCTAGCCATTTTAAATGTAGTCCCGCTGGGCGTGCCAAAAATATATGTTGGCTTTTTAGCTTTCGAAAGTTATTATTGTGATTGCGAGCGTGCCAGCAAGGATCAATTTAGTCTTTACAGAAATTTAATTGCCAACCAATTATCAGACGACTGTGTTTTAGTTCTCTCAGCCTCAATGAAGAGGACTTTTACTGGTGGCTTGATTTAGGAGAATTTAAACAGAATACCAATCAAATACAGAAAATCTGAAGCATTTCACTAGAATGAAAAACTTACAATGATTCGAAGCGTCAATCTATTTGAAACTACTCCTATGAATGAAAATGCAGTGCAGAATTTGAAGTACTGGAATGTAAAGAACAGGGTATGTAAAAGTAAAGTAGAATAAGACTGATTTTTTAGATTTGAGTCCGGGGGCTTTTTCCAGGGCCTTCTCTGCTATTTATACTGCTCAAAGATAACAGTCGAACTATATTTCCAACCATTGAACTACTCCCCCATGATCGCTGATTATGTAGCCTCAAGATTAGCTCCACTATGCCATTAGTTGCAGTTAAACTTCCCTCCTAAATTTGAATTTAAATAAAAGTAACCGCTGATGCCACATCACCTTGCATCTCTTTGTTGATCCACTGCTACTCAGATCTCATAACAACCAATATCAACTACCATGTGTACGATCAGCATTGAAGACTTGAATGGTCTCCCCATATTACCCTTACCTTGCCACGCGTCGAATTGTAACTGACTTGTACAAAATATGCAACCAACAATAATATAATTATTTTTTCACTGTCCCATTGATTCACAATTCTCTCAAAAAAAATTAAAAATTGAATTAGAAAATGACACGAGAAAGTGTGGTTGATCTTGCACACCCTCTCCCCCTAGTGCGATCATCTCATAAGTGATCCTATCAAAAATTCAAAATAAGTCAATAAAATAGTGTATATTACTTACATTATATGAACAAATCTCTTTCCCAATGTAAATTTATACACATACGTATGAACAATACCCATATCTCTCTCTGTAAAATTAGTCCATTTCATAAATCAATTTTCAGTTATGGGGTGTAAAATATTTCCTCCTATAATTATTTGTTCCCAATTTCATATGTACCAAACAGTAAAAAAAATTGTAGAAAAACAGTTTAATTCAAAACAAACAGTGTAACTAATAAAAAAGTCCCCAAAACCATGTCCAACCAAAGCCAAATACATTTTGATTAATTATTCTCATCTTTACCATATACGTGTTTGAATTTTATTTTTTTATTTTTTTTATTTTCTTTTGAGAATAAAATCTTATCTATTTGATTCATTAAAATGAGATGAAACAGAAAGGTGATTCTTTAAAGTTTTCTATAAAATTATTATTCCTTCCCTATATTTGAATGATAATTCTATTTATAGTGTATTTTTCCTTATTTTTTTAGTCAATTAAACATGAGAATGAAATCATCATTAATCATTCCATTTCATTCCATTCCCGTGAACCAAAAACACTACAAATTTTCCTTTCATTTTCTTTTTCCTCCACAAGTTCACAATCCATGCCTAATTAAATCCTTTGACCTGTGCATCATACATGATGAATAATAACCACTGATTACATCATAGCCAAACAATGGTATGGACCATGTCAGTTTGACAAGTGCATGCAACAACACAACTGAATCAATTTTCAAGCAATACCCACACACAAATTTCAGGAAAATACCCTTTAAAAAAATTAAAAACTCACTAAACAGCACAAATCAGATTTCGAATCAATGTACAATTTGTGCAATGGCTTAACTCTTTCCAAATCTCCTAGGTTTAAAATGTGAAAGTCATTAGGCTTCAGGACTCTCCTACTGCAATTTGCACAGATTAAAAGTTCCGATATTTTCCTTTGAGGCAACTCTCGTTTGGTAAGTGTTGGATTCAGTTCTGTTTGAAATAGGGACTTTACAAGGGCAACTTCTATTTCTGCACACTTATTTATCTTTGCATGTACACTCAATGAAACTTAATTTAAGAGTGTTGTTATTAACACCTACCTTTCCAATTTTATCCAAACATGAATTTGCATTTCTGTGCTCATCCCTAACATTCTAACCTTTGTTTCCTAAACCCTAATCCTAACCTCAATCCTAATTTCCCAAACCTTAACCCACCAACCTTTTCAACATCTCCACCGACGACCTCTCTTTCCACCTCCAGTGATTTCGCCACTCCTAATTTTTTTCAATGCCATTGTTGAAGCAATTCTAGCACCTGTCACAATCTCTAATGGGTTTCGTTGATGATGATTTTTTGAGAAAAATTTGATGCCATTAATGGATTTTTGAGTTATGAGTCTCGATTTGTGTGTGTGAATCCAAATTGCTTCCCAAATCTTTCGACGGAGGCACATAGTTGCTGTGGGTAAGAAAAAGAAGAAGAGAGAGAGAAACCAAATCTGCCAAAAAAAAAGAAAAAGAGGAAGGAAGACGTGGTGGTCGGAGGTTGTAGAAGGGTGGTCGCTGGTGGGGGAGGTGCTGGGAGGTTGCCGGAGGGGTTGGACTGCCGGTGGTAGGAAAATTGCAGAAAAAAAGTTAGGGGTCAAAAAGATGAGCGGTCGAGGCATATAGAAACAGAAAGTGAAACTGAGTATCGAGGCCCATAGAAACAGAGTATCGAGGCCCATAGAAACAGAAAGTGAAAGAAACATAGATATCAGTAAGGGAGTATCGAGGCATATAGAAACATAGAAACAGAGGCATATAGCGCCCAGAGAATAAAAAAATTTCAAAATGGTAGAGAGATACTCCCTTCAACAATGCAATGTAGATCTTCAATGGAGTTGTCTATGAGGGTCTTCACAGTGTCTTTAATGTGGGTGGAACCAAAAATGGGTTAGAAAATGTGCCTGGAATTTTGAACAGGTATGTGCAAAGAGAGTTTAGGTGATATGTGTACAAAGATATGAATTAAGAATATAATTAGAACATTTGATGTGTGGGTTGACAGAAAGTGAAAGAAACATAGACATCAGTAAGGGAGTCGCTTTCTATTGAGAAAATTTTGTAACCAAGTCCAACAAACATATCTTGTTGTGACCAGTCTGCCTTCAAACACAAAGTACTATCACATATCATCTGAAGGTTTGATGCCTACCCTAATCTAAGTTATATGCTTCACATATAATGTTAATCAAAACTTTAAATTTTAAATTACGAAGCCCGTAGCAGACTAGTGTTGGCACGAATTCCACTGTTGTCGTGGACTAGCCTCCAAAAATTCTTCACCGCATTCAGCGGGCTGACCCTTTGGTCACTGGTCAGATTCTCCTTTAATCTACTATTCATAAATAAGCCTCTAGCAGCAAAACCCATTAGCTCAGTTGGATCCATATAACCTCGGATCCTTGATACAATTCCACCTTCATAAGAGAAGCCCACTCTGAAGCATCGATCAGGTGAATTGGGCTCTTCTGGATGGCCTCTATTTGTCCTTGGTTCAGCCCGGGAATTTTCCAATGATGTTAAGGAATCATCTTTAGGATTTATGTAACTTTCCATACCAAGTGATTCCCAATCAATTTGCTGCAAAATTCTCGCTGCTCGTTCTGTGCAACGCCAGGGATAGTTTTGTGATTGTAGTGATTGCTCAAGAGCTAGTCTTTCTACTTGGACCTTCAATTCCTGTAACTGATTGCCAATCCTTGAAGATACAGCATCATATAGGTTTTCTCTTGTTTCATTGTAGTTTTCTTCCATGAGTAAATCATCAAAGTAGATGGGATGACCAATAAGAACAGTCACCTATAGATTCAAGTACATGAAAGACATGTTAAACACACCAATAAGGACAGTCACCTACAGACTCAAGTATATGAAAGCCATGTTAAAACACAACAGCCAAATGAAGTGGCTATAAATGTATTCCATCAACAATGTTGTGCAGGAAAACGGTTGCAATTGACGGCAATTGTGACAACAGAATGTTCATACCCAAAATAATAATAATAATTGATAAGTGAATAGCTGAGAAAAAGTTGTTCATCATCTGCTGAGCACTACACCTAAAAGTATCCAAAAGGCGTCTTAAAATAAATAAATAAAAAGTAATAGGATATGTTTAGACGTGTCCAACACATGTCTGGCACAAACACACCAGCTTCTTAGTTCTTAGAAGCATTTGTGCTTCTTAGCAGACAACAATTGACTTCATTCCACAAACTTCCGTCAGGACATCATGTCCGGCAATTTAATTGACCAGAAAAAAATGCAACAGTTAAGTGTAGCACTACTTATAATCATACATGCTCAGTTGCACTGACCATTTTTTAATGAAAACAGCTTAATCAAAAGGATCCTAGTAACTCTTTTTTCCCCACTAACTACTATCAGAATGTAAAACAACGGGTGAGGCAGGGTAATGAGACATGTTAATTAGGATGTTCCGTCACTTCCGTGTGCAACCAATTAGAATAAGACAAACTCAAATATGTACCATCTTGCCAATCCGTGGAAACTTGGCTCCCATAGGCATGATATCTTGCATCCCAATATGAACAAATGGGACAACCAAGGGGATATTGTCTGCATCCAGGACCAACCTGTTGAGAGTTGAAACATATAAGAAAATGGATAATATTTCGAACCCAACTCAAAAAATAAATACAGGAGCCCATAAATCAGATAATCAAGAAGAGATGCAATTAGAAGTGAACAATATTCCAACACAGATACACAAAGAAAAGAAAAGAAAAGAAAGCAAAACCATTCACACGGAAGCTAGGAGTGAGTAGAACAGCAAGGACAAGGTAGCGGGTGTGTAAACCTCAGACATGGTTATCCTAGCTTATTTTAATTAATATAAGAAATATGGCTAAATGTTTTTCCAGGATCCTGGTATGTTCATCATCTTTTGAAGCACCAGCATCAGCAACTCTCTATCCAAAAGGGACACCTTTTCTGGTGAAGTATATCTGAAAATAATGGGTTATGCCTTTGAAGAAAATTTTATTATCTTTAAGTTTTTTACATGCTTACAGAACCGGTTTTGATGAGTTTCCAAATGAATTTTGTTTGGGTTTCTCTAGCCATCACCCAACATATTTCAGGTCATGCTCTATGTGACCATATTGTTCAACATCTTCATCACCAAATAATTACAATCTAGAGCGTTTTTTATGCATAGATTCGTTGATTCACTTCATTTGTAAGAATCTATAGGCCTTTTTGTATTTTGATGGCATGTTTGATTGGAAGGATTAAAGTATGGGATTGGGATTATTAATCCGTGACCCCAATTATCCTATGTTTGTTTTGATATTTTGGTTTAGGATTATTAATCCAATGGATAATTAATCTAACAAATTTGTAGAATTATTAGTAATGGGATAGGGGTAAGATAGTGAATACCACACTAATTTAATAGGATTATTAATATCTCACTATTAGTCTTATGAATCAAACATGGCCCGAGTATATAAGCCCTTTCATTGGATTGGAAGATTATATCATAGATTCATAGCTTAAACTTCTTGTACATGATCAACATCCCATTTGATGCTTTTATTTTAAATAACTTTCTTTACTTTAAAATAAATAAATAAATAAAAAATAAAAAAAATTGAAAATGATACATCATATCACTAAATGGCAACTAGAGGTGGCTCTACCATTAGGCCACTTAAGTTATCTAGGCCCACAAGAAAATTTTAAAAAATTCTCACTATTGAAGGGCCCAACTTTTCAAAGGCTTAGTTAGAAAATGCCTCATTTTGAGGCTTCCAAAAATCTTGAGCCACTAACATATGGCATTGACGAATTAATCATTTTCTAAACTATAAATTTGTGTGTCGATGTCGCATCGTATCATGTGTTTGTGTCCATGCTTTTTATTATAATTATATGTTTTCTTGCAACACTAATATTTTGAACAACATTCTGCACATCATTAGTCACTGTCTCTCCATTCTCCATTCCCCATTTGCCCATCTTCTTGTCAATTTATTCTTCTTTCCCCGCCAAAAAGAAAGCAACAGAAAGCTGGTGCTTAGAGAACACGATCAGCTCAATGGTACAAAATAGATTATTAAAATGATTATGTACCACAATGGTGCCATGTGCAATGCATGCAAACCTTACCTCATTGAATTATTTTATCTTCTCCAATTAATTATTCCTACTACCTGCAGTAATGCTCATCTTTTAGAACTTTGCCAAGTACCAATATCAGGCATGTTCTCATCAAACTAAAACACCTTATTAAAACTCTGCTTGTTTTGGCAGAAAATTTGTTTCAACAGAAAACATTTACAAAAAAATTGTAAGAAAAAGTTTTCTTATATTTGGTTGCGACCTTGAAACTAATGTGGAGGTGGTGGCGACAGGGCTGCAGTGGTGGTGGTTGTGGGGTGATCAAGGTGGTGAGGTAGTGGGATGATGGAGGTGCCAGGCAAAGGCTATTTTTTGGTTTTTTGGGCTAAAATCCACAAAAAGACAAAACAAGCTAAAATAGCTAATAAGACAAAATGTCATATCAAACCCATAATAATTTCATTTTTTCTCTCACAAACATTACATCCAACTACAAAAAAATCCAACTATCTTCCCAAACACAAAAATTTTAGCCTACTAAAATAGCCAAAAACTAAAATAGTTTACTAAAATAACAACTTCCCAAACATCCACATAGTATGGGTGGCATTGGAAAGATTTTAGTCCGGAAAACATTTTCTCCTTTCAAAAGTAAAAAACATTTTCTGTCCAAACAAATTTGTTCTCTGTTAACTACAGAAAACATTTTCCATTGTTTTTTGTTTTTCATTGTACCAAATGCCAGAAAATTTGGAAAACATTTTTTTTTTTTTTTTTTTTTTGCTGAAACAAATGTAGCAGAAAACTACCTGTCAGACAAACCTTGGTGCTGGCTTGATAGAATAGATTTCATGTCAAAAAGCCTACATTCACTCTCAAGTCCAAGTTGTGCAATCTATTATAAGTACTGAACTAGTTAAAGATTGTTGACTTTACAAGCAAATGAATCCTATGATAGCAACAACATTACAGTTAACAACAGAAATTTCTCACCTCCCAACGCCTCTCTTGGCAGACCCCATGGTACTTCCACCATCTCGAGACCGACTACCCTCTGGGAATATGTGAACCCAATCGCCATGGTTCAATTTTGAGATAGCTATGTCCATTCCCTAGGCCAAGCCAAAGATGTAACATGAGCCACATAAAATATTATTAAGACAATGCACAAGGGAGATTAAACACAGCCAAAAAAGCAAAAGAATGAACATAATTAAACCTCAAATAAATTTAGGCATACTTTCCCGAATATGTTAGAAGAGATTTATCATAGTAGTAGCATAAACTTTACAATTTGAGGGTACAAGTGATCAGAGTGATTTGAAAGTGGTTAAACCCACAAAAATCATATATAACTAGGTAAACAACAAAACATCACTCTTACATTCTTCACAAAAGTAATGTGACTGTTATCCTATGGGTGTGTATTGTGCAGACTTACCCAGATTTAAGAAAAGAAAATTACAAACAATACACCAAATAAATTGAATGTTTTCTTTTTTCCTTTTTCCTGGGAGTAAAAAGTAACGCATCAAAATATAAATTGCAAAAGCCCAATATCACTCAAAGTGCCTTGCTAATCTGACAGATGGCCAAATTTCAAGAGGAATCAATGGTTCAAAGATCACCTAAGAGTAAAATTTCCCAAGACATTAATTTGCATAGAAACTAATAACAAAAGCCATTGAGCTGTAACAAACTAAAAAATATGTACATAAATTGGTACTTTTTGAGTATATTATCTTGAGGAAACAAAAATAAAGTTCTGCAAGCCATCCATATCAATTTCTCATTTCATCTACCTCAACTTAATTAAAATATCTCACAAAAAGATATATAAAGATTCAAGCAAGAAACCATATCAGCTTTAAGTAGAATACCTTAGCTGCAAACTTAACAACAATTTTCACTAATTAAAAAAAAAAAAGCAATATGCGATACAAAAATTTATATATATATATATATATAAATAAATAAAAAGTCAATGGACCAAAGTTTTACTAAGAAAATATGTACTCACCTTCCTAGAGGCTAAGTAAAGAATAATCCAATTGTGTATAGAACACTCCATAGTTCTAATAATATTCAACAGCTACATAATTACTCTCTGAATGCTACATGAATACATAGTATAAAAAATTACCTTCTGATAAATCCCATCACCACGGGAAACTGGCAAAACTTTGACACACCTAAAGAAAGCAGATGTCAATGGACCAAAGTTTTACTAAGAAAATATGTACTCACCTTCCTAAAGGCTAAGTAAAGAATAATCCAATTGTGTATAGAACACTCCATAGTTCGAATAATATTCAACAGCTACATAATTACTCTCTGAATGCTACATGAATACATAGTATAAAAAATTACCTTCTGATAAATCCCATCACCACGGGAAACTGGCAAAACTTTGACACACCTAAAGAAAGCAGATGTCACTGGATTACGGAAACATCTATCAGTTGCACAAAGTGTCCACCTCAATCTGTGGGCATCCAATAGTGTGCTTGGTGGAAGCAGTGAAGCAATAACCAATGGATCATCCACTGAAGCAACATGATTGCTCACCTACAATCAGTGTAAAATGTTCCATCATCATGATGTGCAATGGCTAAAGAAGGGAGTAAGGGTAAAATTCAAGGAGCAGCCTAGCTACCTATGAAGCACGGGTACTGATACGGGTACGTTGATACGGTAAAATCCAAAAAAGTAGGGTATGGGTACGGCTTGGTATGCTTGTAAAAAAATATTTATTTTTAATTTAGAGTAAAGCAAAAATTAATTAAATGATTTAATTTATTAATATCCAACCTATAACTAACATTTAATGCCAAATATAAAGGTATAAATCAAAATTAAATGACAATATATTAAATAACTTACAAACTATAATTTAATTTTAAAATCATGCTAAGTATAGAACTAAAAACAAAAAAGAAATCTAATGAAAGGAGTTTCATCTCTGTAGTAGAGAAGAAAATATTGTTTCAACTGAGATACGGTACGGTTTAGGTATATATTAGGCACGTCTGGGTACACCAAAAATTAATAAGAATAAATTTGGGTATGTATTTCGTGTAACCAATACGTATACAAAAGTACCATACAAGGTACCCTACGCCGGTAAGTAACCGGTATGAGTACGGCATATTTTTTGAAGTACCCATGCTTCATAGCTAGCTACAACATGACCAAATAAAATTCAATCAAAATAAAATGATAGCTGCATGCTGCATACCGTAATAAGAGGTTGCTTCTCTGGTCTATTTAGCAATGCCTGATGAAGGTTTTCTGCACCATATATCTGGAATACAAGCCAAGTTAGCAGCAAACCTAAAAAATCAGCAGTTGGACTTTTGATATTTCAATCCTAGTTAATTTACCTTACCTGGACACGATTGAGGCCATGCATAAAAACATGACATACATTTCCAATGACAGGAACAGCTAGAGCTTGAAGCATGTGAGTGATAACAGAATCTTCTTCTGCATCAATGCCTTTACCAACTGCAATCATGTTCATAAATGTAAATTCAATATGTCTCTCAACTTCTCATCAATTCAAAAACCATTTTGTTATGGGAAGGTATTAACAATGTGCAAAAGACAACAAGTGGAAAGCAAGATATTCAGACCCCAAGAATGAAGACAGGAAAGGTGCGAAAATTGAGGCATGAGGCTTAAGTCATAAGCTACTTAATTCTTAAGCCAGGAATAAATCAGATGGAAGGACAAAAATAATGCAAAGTACACAAACACAACTTTTCCATAACATAACATACGCCTAAGTTAAATATAAATAAAACAGTGCTCACCATCTTCCTAGTCATGACCACAGAAACGGCTAGTCACTCAAAACACCACAAACATGGTCATTCACCTTTGGCAATTGGGCAAATATCAAATGAATCATTTCCAATCGAATTTGAACAAATGCATTACAAACTCTACCAATTCTAAAGAGGTATTCGTGCTTCATAGGTTCTTATTATTGGTTGTTTTCATGATTCTAATTTTGATGTATTATCTTATATGGTAGATAAAACACAACAATTTTCCATACATAAAAAACCATGCAATATCTATAACACACTTCGCTTCGATGAAGCCCAGGTCTCACCTTCTATTACCTCATAAACCAATTTCTTCAACATTTTCTTGATACAATTATGATTCTGCCATGGGTTTGTGTGTATGACCATAAACATACATAGATTTTTTGATAAGCTATGACATTATCATTATGCATATTCCTTCTCTAATAACTAACTTAGAAAAGGTGATTATATGGATATGATCTATGTTGTTGCTAGAACATTAGTTGGTTCCTTAATAAAGTTTTGCATCTGGTAAACATTATAGGGTTTACTGCAAATTGATTATAATGTTTCTACAACTGATGTTCATAATATTAAAAATTAGATTTCGTCATACACTTTGGTAAGTGAACCACATAATGATTTTCTTTTGATCAACAATAGATTGATCAATACATACAAATCCCCCAAGTGCCAAAGCTAAAGCACATTTGGTGATTTTATCTTTCCAAAATGATGCATCAACAGTTGAAGTCTGTGTGCGGCCACTTAACTCAACAAATCATAGTAACTAATTCTCAGGAACAAAATCTTCAATTGAGTTTCAATAGCAGCTAAATTGGTTCTTTACACATCAAATACATTACGGAGATAGAGACACATATTAGTATTGCACACACCAAACCTAATTTGAGTGCAAACAATATAAGCAGAAGATCCATACGAAACACATTCATAAAGCAAATGTATATAACAAATTATTCGGAAAAAATTTAAAAAAAAAACAAAAAAAAAACTGACCTCTCTTGCGATAGAAAGCGGAGGTAGAAGGCAAAGAGTCTCCGCGAAGACTGCGAAAGCGTTGAAGCCAGCGTTGCATTGTCGACGAGAAATAGCCATCGGAAAACCTCCGCCGGCGACGGTGCTTGTCGACAGCGACTCTGAAACGGTCTCTGAGACGAAGTTGCAGAGACCAAGCCCTATTCTTCCACAGATCTCCTGTTTCGTTCGACTCTCTAACCATTTTTATTATTATATAAGGAAAAAAAATGATCCACAGAGAGAGAATAAAGAGATTTAGCGAAAATCCAAACAAAGCGTTGGTCTCGCTGGGATGATTAGGTTTCTAGAGAGAGAGAGAGAGAATCGGAAGAAAATGTTTTAGAGACGAAGAGAGAAAAGCTGGTTATGATGATCCATGGTTTTTGCAGAGCGAGTGTAGTGCGAGAAAGAGGAAGGGACTTAAGCAGGTCGGTGGTAATTGCTCGGGTTCTTGGGTTTTGTTTTTTTTTAAGGGCAAATTACATATACACCCCTCGAGGTTTGGCTAAATTATAGATACCCCTGAGGTTTCGGAAATTACATCTCGCCCCCTGAGGTTTGTATTTTCATAACAATTTGCCCCCTGAGGTTTATATTTCATAACAAATAACCCCCTAATTTCTTATGCAAATATAGTATTCAGGGGAAATTCGTAATTTCTCAAACCTCAGGGGCATCTGTAATTTGGCCAAACCTCGAGGGGTGTATATGTAATTTGCTCTTTTTTTAAAGTGCGCGGGGCGCGCAATGCGCACCAGTGGATAACGTTAAAAATAAACAATTGAAAAATTACACTTATCTCCTCAAAAATTAAAATATCATATTTATTTATGTGATTTTAAAGAAAATAAAATAATATAAATATTTTGTTCATATTATTTTAAGAGAAATTATAATTATTTTTTTTATTTAACTAACATAAAATTTAATTTATTTTTAATTTTCATTTTTTTAATATTTTAAATAATTTTTTATTTTATTTTTTAGATATACCTAATCTAAATATATTTAAGAAGTATAATATTTTATATTTTGTTTTAAATTCACCAAATATAAAAAAATATAAAAATTCAATACATCATCTTATTTCGTTGTATTCAATAAATTTTTTTTTGTATAAATTTTATATTTTTTAAATATATGTAGATTAAATTCTAAATATAATGATGGAAATAAAAAAAAAATTATATTCATATATAAAAATTTATACAAAAAAATCATAAAAATGTTGAGATGGTGACATTGTTGTAAATATAAATCATGTTTATAGGTGTTTTGTTTTAAAATAAAATATCACCATTAAACTTTTATCATTGTATTTGAAAATTCTATATAAAATTTATGTTTATATATCATTATTCTATAAGAATATGTTCGGATGAAATTTAATGATGAAAAATCGTGGAATGTATTCATGATGATAGGAAGAAGAAATGGTAGGAAAAAAAGACAAAATGGTCATTTAAAATTTTTTAAAATATGACATCAACAATTCAAGATGTAATTTACAATAAGATTACAAATCTCAAGAAAGAGCATGTAATTTTTTAAATATGAAGAGATCTATATTAAATAAAATTCTCAGGAGGTGTCTGTGTAATTTACCCTTAAAAGATTCTCTCTCAGGGTCCACTGGTCCAATATACGAACAATGTAACGGTCTCAAATTAATTAAATTAAAATATTACTCATAATATGCGTGGATCAAAATTATACATCTTTCATTAACAACATTAATCCAATATCTTCTTTTTCATTGAATTAAAATCTCAAAAATATAAGGGTGAATTACATTAATAGTCCCTATAATTTGGGACTTGTGTCATTTTGGTCCTTAACTTTTCAATTGTGATACATTTGACCCTGAATTTTGAATCTTATTCCAAATAAGGACAATTATAAATACTATTGGATTTTTCAAGGGCAAAATTGTCAATTTGATAAAATATAAATTAATTTGACAAAAATAAATGTCACAAAATTATTTTTGAATTTTTAAAAATTATTTCTAACTACTAAAGATAAAATTATATAAAACTGATAAATCTTTTAGACGTTTATTTATTTATTTTACCAGATTAATTTTTATTATGTATTTGGATAATAATCATGTAAAATTAATTTTTAAAAATTAATCATGTAATTTTTATTAATTTTTATCAATTTTACATAATTTTATTTTTGGTGGGTAGAAATAATATTTTAAAAATTTTAAAATATTTTTTTGATATTTATTTTTGTCAAATTAGTTTATATTTTATCAAATTAACGATTTTGCCCTTGAAATTAAGCAATGGTATGTTCAATTGTCCTTATTTGGAACAAGATTTAAAATTCAGGGTCCAATGTGTTACAATTGAAAAGTCAGGGACTAAAGTGACACAAATCCCAAACTATAGGGATTATTAGTATAATTTTCTCAAAATATAAACTTTGTTTTCAAGCATTAGTTACATCATCATTAGCATAGTTCAAAAAGTTAAAGAAAATAAAACAAAAATGTTCTAATGGCTTACAAATATCAAGGCAAGGCCTTATTACAACCAAATGGACATGCGATCTCAAAACACATAGGCTCGAAGTGTCCAGATAATATATCCATGAGCCTTCATACTCCAATAAAAACAAAAGAGAATCAACCTTTTGCTTATAAGGGTGGTTGCATATCACCGGTTCTAAAAATGTTAGATAGGAATGAGTTAGATGCCTAGTAGAAATACTTTTAACAGAATATTTAATTATTCAAAAATTCATGACATTCTCACAACCAAACATATTTAATTAAATTTATGAAATTGATTTAAGAAAAGGTGCATAAATTCATAACTTCTACAATTTCACAATTCAACACCGAAGGGAGTAATTATGTCATGAAACCCTTAAGGGAAGTCTCAATATATACATATACTTAAGTTTATATTAAAAAATACCAGTTATTAATATAGTAAGAAATGGACACCCAAAATCATTAATTTTTTCACTTTTATTGGCTACAATACGATAGGACCAATGGACACCTAAAAACATTTTTCCTCATTCGTCCAGCAATAAGCTTAAGACAAGGTAATTGGGGACCTAGACTTTTCCCGCGAGGGTACCAACAACACACAACACATTCCCAGAATCGACTCTCTATACAAACACATACGCTATTTACAATCCCCTTTAACAGTCTTTCCAAGAATTCCTAATGTTTATACATTCAAGGAAATAAGAGTTAGTTTCACCATTCAAGTAATTGGAGTAAACATAGAGTGACAATCCTCATAATCTCAAACAAAATCTCAAGAACATCTCAATTTCACAAATTTCAAATCAAATACCTCTCAAATGTCATAATCCAAGTATCAATTTAAAGAATTGAAGATCAATTTCATTTAATCACATTATTTCTAAATTTTAAAAATTAGGATTTTCATAAAATTTGTGGCTTTTGCCCTTCCATCATGACAAATACTATTTCTCATCTAAAATTTAAAAAATCCAAGATAATAATAGAACCTTAAGAAAATTGTAGAGAAAATTTCATTTTTTTGGAAGTCAAACCCAAATTTGTAAACTCAACACTAATCATAGCACCAATGTTACAATAATACCATATAAACATCTTCAAATCAAAGAGATACAAGATTAAAAGTAATCATACCTCAAAGATTAAAGCAAAGAAGCTAACCCCAAGATGAATCCTTTGAGAAACAAAATCCAATCGGTGGAAAAGTTCTATTTTCACCCAAACTTCGATTTTTGTAAGGGAATGACGTGTAAATCTTTGTAGAATGAGAGACTTCTAGAGAGATATTACTAGGGTTTTTGGAGTTATAGAGAGAGGAGAGAAAAAAGGAAAGAAAAAGTAAAAAAATGATCTAAATAGTTATTTTTAAGTTGTTGAATCAAATAGACTGCTCGAATGGTAAACCTAAGTTCTCAGTACTTTCACCTGAAAAACGAGATACTAGAAACTCACTCATATTCGCTCGAGCGACCACTTGACCGCTCGAGCAGTCCTCATTTTCACCTGACCTGCAAAACCAACTTTTGGAAGCCCCTCATATCCGCTCGAGTGATCTTTTTAGCTGGTCAAGCGGTCACCTGAAATGAATTGTTACAGACAATCCTTCTAGTACGAAAATTTTAGATTAAGAATGTATCATTAATTAGAGAAATTCTATTTACGCACCAAGAATTCTTTCAACACATACTATTACTTAATTTATATTTTTGATGTTTTTAACCTTTGATTTTTTACTCAAAACATACCACAATCTTTCTTTTTTATTCTAAGACACAAAAAAAATATATCTCAGTACACATCACCATACACGCCACACCCTGTACACACTTCACCCTCACCTTCACTATAACTATACATCGGTGGTGATAATACATCAACGAAACAATCGTTGGCATTTAAGATCTTGGATTCTAACCTCTGAAGATCTATGATTCTTACCTTTAAACCTCACTTAGGCCTCATTTGGCAAGTGACTTTTTTAGCCAAAAAGTCAAAAAGTCGCTAAAAAAATCAAAAAGTCAACAACCTATACCAAAAAGTCAAAGGCTCCGTTTGGTAAGACTTTCTAACTATGATTTGAGAATATAAGTTGTATTTTGAGTTTACGTGTTTTGAAATTATGATTTCAGTGTAGAAAATTTGTTTGGTTATGATTTTTTAATAGAATGTTGAATTGAGTTTTGAATTGCAGTTCCGATTCGTAGCTCGAAATTAGCGTGGCTCAAATGCGCCGACATCAAAATGACGTCGTTTTGATGTTTTTTTTTTTTTTTTTTCCCTACGTTTTTCTGCAGATTTTTCTGATGAAGAAGAAGAAGAAGAAGAAAAGGAAGAAGAAGAAGAAAATGAAGAAGAAGACGGAGGGTCTACTGCGATGGGTCTGCAAATCTTGTTCATCACCTTCATCAACATCAACATCAACATCAACAAATTGCAACAACATCATCATCATCATTGCGAAGATCAGAAAAAAATCAGAAAAAAAAAATTCTTTGATTGATAGATCTACCAATTCGTTGATTTCTGATTCTTTGATACATCTACCAATTCTTTGACATCAAGAACAAAAAAAAAATCAGAAAAAAAAAAATCAAGAACATCATCATCATCAACACATCAGCCAACAATTGCCAATAATTTTTTATTTATTTGTTCTTTCATCTTCAGAACAACATCAAGAATAAAACAAAAATCAGAAGAAAAAAAAAATCAAGATCTTCATCATCATCATCTTCATCATCAACAAATTTTTTTTTTTTTTTGATGAACTAATCTTCAGATCCAGATCAAATCTAGATCAACTAAAAAAAAAAAGTTTGAAAGAGGAGATTGGGCCGTTGATCGCCACCACCATCACCGACCATCACTGTCGATCGCCTCTTCTCTTTTCTCTCTCTCTTTCTCTCTCTCTCTCTCCTCTTCTCTTCCC